AAACTTTTGATTTGCACCCTTGCACCCCCCTCAACCTTTTCAATTTATTTTTCCAACCCATTTTGGCGCCCCCTAAGGTCGTCGTCCCCCCCCCCCACCCCGCTACGCTACTGCCCTAGACACAAAGGTCCAAATCTCCCCCACCACCTCAAAGTCCGAGACCACTACAACATTTTGCTATAATTTATAGGATATTCATTAATTATTCATACAAACCTAATTACATTTGTTGTTTTGATGGTATCTCTACCATTACAATTATTAAATAGTTTATCTTAACTCAACATTTCCCCTAACCTCATTTGCTACAGCTGCCTATCCTTTATAGAAAACATCTTTTCCTCAAATATCTGGAATGCATCTGAGCAGCAAGTCTTTTTCTTTTGTAATATTTCATAAACTTGCACAGCCAATAACAACACATTAGCAGGAAACAGGCAGTGATTATAGTTTGTTGTATTTGTGGTTGATGGTTAGTTATCAGCCATATTTCTCTAAGCCTGGTCTACATTTATATGCTGGTATTTGTGGTATGGCTAGAATTGACAAAAACCCATATTCTTGATTCTTCCCTTATCATTATGTTTTACAGCTATGATAGATATATGCAAATGTAAGACTTATAGTGGGACTACATATTTGTGAACACATTTGCTAAAGCAAAAGTTCTTGAGTTGAAATTTTAATCCTTTAGGTTGTCTCTGATTCAAATTCAAAGCAGCTTTAACTGGTACCTGACTGGTTATGGGCAGTAAAACTTAGTAAAAGCTGTTTGACATTTTGCTGACCGTACAATTTATTAATATGGAAGGGCAACAAAACTAGGTGAAATCTACTTCAGCACCATATTCTTAAAAACTATTTATAGTTCGCCAGTTTAAGTTAATTATTGAATAAAGGTAGCAATAATTAGTTTCCGCATACACCAGCACACACAACGAGTGCTGAAAAAAAAAACATAACAAAGTTTATATTTTCTTTTTTTAATTACCATATTCATTCAGAATATTAAAAAAATAATTGTTCAATATGAACAAGTTTTCTTGGGTCCAACATGTATCCTTGGATGAGTTTTTAAATTTAGCTTCATCTTGACTTTTGTCTTCTCTGTATGCAGTTGTATAATCCACAGTATCTAAAAAAAAACAAATGAATTTCATAAACTGTTATATTAAACTCATTAAGTTTACATACTTTCAACTCTTAATGTTATAAATAAAAATATTTGTCTGTCTTAAAAAGATCATAAAGAAATGATGTGTATTTATATATTGGATTGTATGAGCTATCTAACCATTACCATTCATTAAAAATATAGGTCTAATAGTTTACTTTTAATATTTTAATGTAAGGAGTTTGTCATAAAATACAATAGGCCTTCAAAAGAGTCCAAAAGTCATGTATATATCATTTAAAAAAAAAGAAAAAGAAATCAATAAAGATCTACTACTTATGTTTAGCCACCTCAGGAATTAGTTGAAAATTGATATTCAAACTAGGCTACTAGATCTATAACTATCATTAATTCATACACATACTAGAATAAATATTAGGATAATTATATTAATTTGATTAGTAAGTTAAGCCATCTATGACAATTGACACCTTTTGGCTTTATCAACTATTCTGCATTTTAAATTCTAAAGATCACTATATAATACTAAGAGTAGACTAAGTCATATATTAAGTTAATTAAGTAGAACTGAAATAAGACAGCTCTTTACTAATAAGCCTACTCTTCTATTCAGTAATTTTTACTATTATTATTAGAGGCCTAAAATTACTGTTAGACTACTAATCTAGATTAAACTTAAATTTTGGATATTATTTAATGTACTAGTCTGTAACCTTTTATTTAGGCTACATGTAATTTTTACAAGTTTAAAATTGTAGCCTTATTAAGCCTAGTTAACTTTGCTTAACTGACATACAAATACTAAATACCTACCCAATCACAGGCCTACTAGACTACTACTAAAGCTACTACATCTAAATCTACAGTCTAGATAGGCCTACTGAACTAAAAGTAATATGACAACTGCAAAAATTAAGCATACTTTATTCTTTTTACAATACTATTTTAAGCCTATAGACCTACTGCTATTAAATATGAATCTATTAGTTATTAGACTAACATAAGTCATCATAAGTCTAATTAGTAATTACCTCTAACTAGGCCCTAATCATATTAACAAAGTAAGTATTAGGACTGTCATCTGTACCATAGAATACTACTACTATAGTAAATATATTTTAACAAGTAGGCTCTAAAAAATTAGTCTAATCATTTATTAGACTAGGCGTATATGTAGTGCCCTACTAACTAATTACTAAGGACTAAGATTAACTATTTACTAGATCTATATGACATATGACTAGTCTATAAAACTAGTTTATACCAGCTACACATTTATAATATAAACTATGGGCCTAATTTATTTAACTTATCTATTATTACTATTAACTTAAAATACTTCAATATACTTATTGAATTATTTAATATAGATTTTTATAAATATATTATATAACTTCTAGATTCTAGATCTAGACTAGAGTAGATCTCTTATTCTCTACTAGATCTACTTATATAAAGTTACTTCTATAGATCTAGATCTAAATCTAGTTAGTATTAGTTATTAGTATTATAAAGTATTATTGAGTATTAACTATTAAGTTTATAAATTAGAATAGATCTAGATTCTAGATCTAGATCTAGTGTTTTTATATTTAATAAATAATTAAACATATTAAAAAGCCGTAAAATTCTAGATCTAGAACTAGATCTACTACTAGACTAGATCTAGATTCTAGATCTAGAAATCTAGATCTAGATTCAAGACTAGATATCTAGAAAATCTAGATCTTCTAGATAATAATTAAATTAAAGTTAATAGACTATAGATTCTAGATCTAGAATCTAGACTCTAGATCTAGAATAGATCTCTATTCTCTAGTGTCTAGACTCTAGAGTCTCTAGAGTACTCCTCCTAGAATCTAGATCTAGTACTGGATTCTCGATATAAATTTATTTTAGTCTAGATAATCTAGATCTAGATTAGATCTAGATCTCTAATCTAGAAACGTATGGCTTGATTCTAGATCTCTAGCTTAGAGCACTCACAGAACTTACACTGTAAGTCTTACAGTGAGTAGTCACAGGCCTAACAAAAATAATGAAACATGCGTTAAAAACATTCTACAAAAACATTGGTAACAATTAATAAGAATAATGTTAGTATTTGTTAGATATTAGTAATCTGAGCATAACAGTCATAAAAAAATAAGCCAACTATAATGAAAAGGGATACAAACGAATTTTAAAAGCCTGAATCGAACTGAAAATATTCCCTTGTTCGCCATTTTGTTTTCTTGAATCACCTTGTTCGTATTTATCACTAGAATCTAATATCACGGACAAAAAATGTTATGACTTTAATCTTTTTACTCTCCCTGGCCACTTCAGTTCAGTTCAAGGTGGGGTTGAGGGCGGTTTTTATTAAATATTTAAATTTATACAAAAATTCAAAATCATTTTCAACGGCTTATGTTCAACACAAAAATCTGAAAAGGAGTGTAATCGATGGTTCCTTATCGACTTTAATTTTTAAATTGTAGCTATAATTTTATCGCTTGCCATATTTTTAAAAATAATTTTTTTAAAATTTAGTATGATTACATAGACTTTTCCAGTCTATTGTATTAGCACCCAAAGATACATTTTCAAGTTGTTTTGAATTTTCTGGGCATAGTTCCTCAGCCACCTCCAACAAACTTTTTTTCCGTGGACAAAAAGATATCCGCGGGCCGGATGAGAGGACTTCGCGGGCCGCATGCGGCCCGCGGGCCTTAGTTTGGAGACCCCTGAGTCTATGACAATGCCCTTGATTTTTTTTTTCGCAAAACCTTTACTTTTAAATGTTTGCATAAATAAGATAAAATCACTATCTTAAACAGATTGTGTTCATTTACTCTTTAACAGGTTGATACTTTTTTACTTTCTCGTATATACGTAGTATAGAGAAAGTATTGTAATCGTGCAAAAAAAAAAATCGAGATTTTTACAAATCTCGACGTTTTACACCTCACTGATACGGAAAAACATAATTTTGCAATCTTGTCCGTATGTCTGTGTGTGTCTGTGTGTCTGTGTGTGTGTCCGTGTGTAAACACGATAACTTGAGTACCGTTACAGCTAGGTTGATGAAATTTCATATATAAGTATTATATCAAAATCGTAGATCCGTATCAACTTTTGAGCGATTTCCGACAACCGGAAGTGGTACTTTTTCTACTTTGAATTTTTCAAAAGCCTATAACTTGAGTACTATTTCAGATAGATAAATGAAATTTCACATGTAAGTAAAAGATCTAATTCTCTACCTTCTGTTAAATTTTGAGTAATTTCCGTTGACCGGAAGTAGTAATTTACGCTACTTCCGATTTCTCAAAAAACTAATGTAAATTTTAAAAGTACTAATAATATTGCGCACTATTATGCGCTTTTTTATTTGGCGTTCACTTGGTGTGCAATTAATTTGTCTACGAGATTTTATTCTATTTTTAAAACTTTAAGTATTTAAAATGGATTAAAAATCATGTCTATAGCCCGAGTTCCCATCCCCTGTTATTTTATATAAAAATATTCGAAAAAGTTTAGGGGAGATCACTCCCGGTTTATTTATTAAAATAATTAATGTATAACAAAATAAGCACTTCCAATATTGTTTTAAAAATATTAACAATTTACCGTGTTTGTGTATGGGAGGGGGTGTCCCTAAAAACTGAGTGTTGGTGTTTTGTGGAAATATTATATAACTTTTATGGAGTTTATAATTTTGTTTTATGTATTAATTGCGCGATGTCTGACCAGCTACATTAAGGATACAGTTTTTATATGACCACAGTCAACCAAAAACACGATTTTAAAGATCACGCTTTAAACACAGCACCAGCTTCAATTATGATCTGCTGTAATATTATCTCCACTATTTCCTTTCTAGAAAACAAATATAAGTGTGTCATAATGCTGGAGGGCGAATCTGTAACTTTTGAGCTGCTGGATACAAGATCCAATGTAAGTCAAGTTTTAAAAATAGAAAACGCACATATTGTGTTAAAAAAACAAAACAAAAAACATGTAGGAGTCCACCTTTACACATTACGTTAAAGAAGAGACTCTCTCTTTTCCCTTTATGTTAAAAAAGTTCTTTTAAGACGTCCACGCATGGTGGAGGTGGGCGTTCGGGTCCACCTGGGGGTCAACTTGTTAAATTTAACATAAAAGTACTTACATTTTTTAAAAAAAAACATCAAATTTTTATTCTGCAATTAAAACAGCAGTGTTCGTGTTTTTTTAAAACAATTATTATTATTTAAATAAAAATAGCACAGCGTGTAAATAAATCACGCTATGCATTCTTTCTTTTAGAATACTATTCAGGTCGTCGAAGTTGTTCGACGACCTGAAAAGTTGTTGCACTTTAGTCTGCTTGTTTTCGTGGCGTGGGTTCCATTCTTTTGGGCTCTGAGTTTTTTTTTGTTTTTTTTTTTAGTTTATTTATTTTTTGCTATTTTTCTTATTTTAGGTGGTAAATAAAAGTAAAAGTTGCTGTTGCACTTTTGAAGGGTTGTGGGTTAGGATTAAGTTTTAGGGTTACCATTAAGGATTGCAATTAAGGCAAATTAAGGTTAGGATTCTAAGTTTAGATACTAGGGTTAGAGACAGTTTCTTTCAGGCTTTTTCTCACTTTTTCACGGGGGGGGGGGCAGTTGCATTTCTTTTCTTTGGGGTCGGGGGGCACGGTGCCCACGAATAGATACCTGAAAGAGACTGGTTAGGGAGGATTAGAGTTTGACATTATGGTAAATATACGCAAGCACAGTACATCGATTGAGGCACCCCCCCCCCCCCCCCCCCCCCCCACTGCGTATGCGATTTGTTCCGGCTAGAATCGTTTATATAAACAAAATTTCAATTTATTTTAATGTTATATGAAAATATGGATTGTGAAATCCATATCTCCCTTTGATCTGAGTTTAGATTTACTTTATGCAGCACTCATTTTGTTCGACAAACTAAATAATGACTAGATAAATGATATGTGTCAGTACGGCAAAAACTAAACAATGCGGCTTTATAATTGAACGAATGTTTCATGCCAGGATGAAGATATGGGAGCTCGAGAAGACGTTGTACGTTGGTCTGATGGGTTTGTCTTAGTCTACTCGGTGACCTCCAGACAGACATTCGAAGTTCTTTCAGAGGTTCGACGTAAGCTGGAGGATATGAAAAAAGTCAGCCACGTTCCTGTAATTCTTGTAGGAAATAAAGCAGACTTGGCTCACATCAGACAAGTTTCACAAGACGAAGGTAATTTCTTTTTTTTTTTTTTTTTTTACAAACTTATGCTAGCATTTCACCCACAATGTTAGATTTTTACTTTATTATTTTTAGTCGCTATTGTTAAAACGCAAACTAATTTCGGCAAATAATGTTTAAAATTGCGATATTCCAAGAAAATCTATTTTCCCAAATGTAGGCCTATATATTTCTAAGGAGGGAGTGGGACTAAGAGAGCAGTAGCCCTAAAACAGATACAATATTTTTAATCAAATATTTCTTTGTATTATCACAGGCGCGAGATTGGCTGCAGACTTATGCTGCTCTTTTATGGAAGTTTCCGCATCTGAAGATGTTACCAAGGTAACAGACGCTTTTCATATACTCTGCAGAGAAATTATTGAATATAAAAGAAGATCAAGAACTTTCTTAGACAGAGTCTTCGGTCTAAAAAAATCATAAACATTATGGATAATAACTCACCAAGTTTTGATTTGGATACTTTACAGTTGCAGCTTTACAAGGTTGAAGATTAATGTGATTTGTATACACAGAATATTTTTTTTAAAATCCTGCAAATATTGGCCTGTACGCAGAGGCGGCATTTCGGGTGGTGACTGGGGAAACCGCCCTAGGCCCCATGCTTTAATGGGCCTAGCTCTTCGGCATTGAGATCGTCTTTATTTGTTTGTAAACTTAAATAACCTTTGCTGCATTAAATTTAAAATCCTAGGTGCATCTTAACGTTCTTCTTTAATTACGATTCCGTCGTTTTTTAACTTTCTCGTATACGTATAGTGAAAAAATCTAAATGTTCACAAATCACACGTTTTTACAATCGAAAAAAAATAGTTATGCAACTTTGTCCGTATGTCTGGGTGTCTGTGAGGATGTGTGTCTGTAAACACGATAACTTGAGTACCGTTACAGCTAGATTGATGAAATTTCATATATTATAAGTAGGCCTATAATATAAAATTTATAGTTTTGTATAAACTTTTCAGCAATTTCCGGTAACCAAAAGTGAAACTTTTTCTACTTTTGGTTTTTCAAAAGCCTATAACTTGAGTACTGTTTCAGATAGATAAACGAAATTTCACATATAAGTAAAAGATCTAATTTGCTGCATTCTTTCAAATTTTGAGTGAATTTCGTTGACAGGAAGTAGTAATTTTAGTCTATTTCCGATTTCTAAAAATAAAAACGCATATGAATATTCCGCAACATTATACACGCATTGTTTGCAGTTCACTTCGTGCGCAATTATTTTTCTAGGAGATTCTATTCTATTTTAAAAAAGGTTAAGTAATTACAAATTTATTAAAAATCATTTCTATATCCCAAATTACCAGCCACTTAGTGATATATAAGCATATTCGAGAAAGTTTAGGAGAGATCACTCCCACTTTATTATATTCTGGTAAAAATTAACATTAAAAAAAAGAAGACAGGATTTGTTGATTGCGGTCACAGATGAGAGATTACAATGACGATTTACAATCATTAAAGGAATCAGTCCAATTGAAACAAAACCGAAACTGAACTTAATGACCGGCGAGTAAGCGGTTGTTTTTTTTTTTTACAATCTTTTATGTAGTTCGCAACGTCTGTTTGTGGGTGAGTGGCAAATCTTGTAACTCAATTTTGACCCACTTCTAATGCAGCGATTTCATTCAAACCTTAAAGATACGTTCCACTTTGATGACAATACAAGTCTTTTTTTAAATTAAATTAGATTTTTAATAAGTCAGTAACAATAAACTAAACGGTTTCAAAATCAAGGGAGATAACACAATTGAATCATTCGATCGAGACCTACCAGTCTAGTGAGCTGTAGTTCGCGAGAATGTTTATAATCGTGAGCCAGTCGATCTAGGGAAGGTGTAATATATTGGGATTTGTGAGGTCAGGGGAACTCACTCTTCTTGTATTAGTTATATTTATAATGTTGTTATTGAGTGATGTCCCTTGTATTTATCTATTGTTACTTCCTGTTCCTCTCTCTCCATCATGGCTGAATAAAGGCTTGTTAACAATCAACGCGGCTTCTCGTCAGTGTTTCCAATCTATTATATCTGGCGACGAGGATAAATAATCCACTAGAAAGAGCACCTACTTACTCAAAAAGAGGTTTGCTAGAGCATATTGGCTAAGTATTTCTAGAATAATGGCGCTGTATGGCCAAATAAAAGAATTTGATTCGAATGATGAAATCATTCATGATTATCTAGATAGGTTAAGCTTTTACCTTGAAGCTAACGACGTGACGATAGAAGCCAAAAAGAGAGCTGTTTTGTTAACAGTCATAGGGCCTCAACAATTTAGGCTATTAAAGGACTTATGCGCACCAGCTAGTCTAACTACCAAGAGCTTTAACGAGCTGAGCAAATTGCTAACAGACCACCATGCGCCCGCACCATCAAAGTTCCTGTCTAGAGCTAGATTTGACGGTAGGACTCGTCAACCAAACGAGTCAATATCAGAATATGTTGCTGCTTTACGTCATTTAAGTAGATTTTGTGAATTTGGAGACACGCTGTCTGACAGACTATGTGAAAAGTTTGTGACAGGTGTAAACAGCCCGGATGTTCAAAGAAAGTTGCTGCTCGAGTCAGATCTAACATTGGAAAAAGCAATACAACTCGCAACTTCATTCCAGCAGTCATCAGATGCGGCAAAATCTCTAACGCCTCCAGGGATCCATGCAGGAAACAGCAGGTTAGTCAACAAACACCAACCCCATCAGAGCATTTCAACTTATGCTAAACAGCCTGCACGTTTAAAGCCTAGATCTAAATCTAGTAATAATTATCAAAAATGTCATCGATGCAACGGTCCCCATGCATCTCATCGATGCAAGCTCAAGTCAGCAACTTGTTATAAGTGCAGTAAGCAAGGTCACATTGCTAAGGCCTGCTTTGCAAAGTCTTCGTCTGTTGCTAAATCTAGCCAGTCAAGACAGTACCGCAACCAAAGGCAGCACTATGTTAACTCTCAGCAAGACTACCTAACCCAACCAATGAACCACTCTACCTGTGAAAATGCTCAAACTGATTCGCAGCCGGATTTCAACCTATTCTCTGTGAAATCAATAAGTCATGCTCCCATCAATGTACTAGTTAATATCAACGGTAAGAGCATCAGCTTCCAACTTGACACTGGAGCATCTCTAACAGTCATAACAAAGAAGGACTTTGACGCTGTCACAGGAGGATCAGTGCCTCTACAACCATGTCACAAGTGTCTAACAACATACACTGGTGACAATGTTCCGGTAATAGGAGAGTGTATGGTTCATGTAAGTTATAATGGTCAAAGTGTTAAACTTCCTCTTCTTGTGGTTGAAGGAAATGGACCACCATTACTAGGTAGGAACTGGTTAAGTGATCTTAAGTTAAATTGGGAGAGTATATTTTCATTGATCAAAGCAAGAGAATCTAGTTTTACTTCAATAGATAAAGTTATATCTGAAAATAAATGTGTTTTTGGTAATCCTGGATTACTAAATGATAGAACAGTGAAGTTAAGCATTAAAGACACAAATCCAAGATACTGCAAAGCTAGAGTTCCACCTTATGCAATGAGGAATAAAATTGAAAATGAGCTAAGTAGATTGGAATCTAATGGCATCATAAAGAAGGTAGACTATTCCGATTGGGCAACGCCCATTGTACCAGTGTTAAAGAAGGATGGTTCTGTAAGAATTTGTGGAGACTATAAAGCTATACTTAATAAGCAAATAGAGCTAAATAGGTACCCTATTCCTAACATTGAGGAAATTTCTTTGAATTTGGCAGGAGGAGACAAATTCACTGAATTAGACTTTAGTCATGCTTACACTCAACTAGAACTGCATCCAGATTCAAAAGTCTATACGACAATAAACACACATAAAGGACTCTACCAATATGAAAGACTATGTTTTGGCATATCATCTAGCCCTGGAATTTTCCAAGCTGTCATGGACAGTATTTTTAAGGATATTCCAAATGTTTGTGTGTACTTTGACAATGTGTACATAACTGGTAAGAATGACACTGAACATCTTAAAACACTTGATAAAGTATTGAAAATAGTTGGTGAAAAAGGTTTAAAGATAAACAAAGATAAATGTCAATTCATGCTGACAGAAATTAGTTTTCTTGGTTATATATTAAGCAAGCAAGGTATCAGACCTCAACCTGAGAAAACAAAAGCCATTAAAGAAGCACCCAAACCTGAAAATACCCAACAACTAAGAGCTTTTTTGGGCTTGATAAATTACTATGCGAAGTTCATAGGGAATCTGTCTGGTAAACTATCACCACTGTACAAGCTGCTGCAGAAAAATGCAACTTGGCACTGGGGTAAACAACAAGAAGCTGCTTTTAATACAGCAAAAGAAGCTTTGTCTTCTGACACCTTACTAACTCACTATGACCCAGGGAAAAGACTTATATTAACATGTGATGCTTCACCAGATGGTGTAGGAGCAGTCTTGTCCCACATAGATGAAAAGGGTGACAGACCCATTGCTTTTGCCAGTAGATCTTTGAATCAGGCTGAGAAAAATTATTCTCAGTTAGATAGGGAAGGCTTAGGCATCATTTTTGGTGTTAAGAAATTTCATAAGTTTCTGTTTGGTAGGAAGTTCACCATCTTTACAGATCATAAACCATTGCTAGGTTTATTTGGAGAAAACAAAACCCTACCTGAGCATGCCTCACCAAGAATTCAAAGATGGGCTATCACACTAACTGCATACAATTATGAATTGAAATACAAACCTGGATCTGAGAATAGTGCAGATAGTCTTAGTAGATTACCTTTAAAAAACCAAAGCCTTAGCTATGTACCAGAAGATGTATTTGTTCTCTTCACTATCATGGATAACTCCAATATAAATGTGAATGATATTAAAAGAGAAACACAAAAAGATGAGTGCTTGATAAAAGTATATGAGTACTGTAAGAATGGTTGGCCTGAAGAGTCTGTGAATGATGACTTAAGGCCATATAAAATAAGAAAAATGGAATTAAGTCTAAAAGATGGAGAAGATACAGTCCATTATCAGTCAGAGTTACCTAAACAAAGTATTTGTAACTTAATAAATGATTATGGTGATATGGCAATTTCAAATGTTTTAAAGAGAATACATTAGTAAGAAGGAATGTGATCATCAAACAACTTTGCTAACATCATTAGCACTTACAGAAACTAAAAGGGTAACATCAAAAGAAAAGAAAAAAGATTTTTGCCATTTAATCCACCCACTTTAAATACTGGATCACAGTTGCAAAGTGATATAGTCCAGGATATTACTTTTAAACAGTATTTTTGGTTACTAAAAAGCACTATCAGATTACCTGAGAAAATTGATCAATCAAAGAAATCTATGTCAGTCAAGGATCTGAATAATAGCATCAGAGGCGTATCCAGGTTTTCGTTGTAGGGGGAGCGAAAAGAGCAAAAAAAAAAGGCGCCGAATGTTTAACACGTTCTATATACGTATATATATATATATATATATATATATATATATATATATATATATATATATATATATATATATATATATATATATATATATTACTAACTGTATGTCATTACTTCGCTATGATGTAAAATTAATTGAAAGTAGCACCCTGGAGAAATAAGAAATTACTTTAGAATATAATGAAATTGTTTAACTCTATTCGTGTTTACAAAATGTTTTTGTCTGTAATCAGACTTTAATATATCGTTATCATAAATGCT